AACCGCTTCCATCGGCGCTGCTGCAGCAAAACACACTGTTGCTCAGATGACATTATTATGTGAGTATTATGACCAGTACTTAATTTGATCCTACTGGATCCTGTTCAGGAAAATGTCAGATTTTGAATTGTTGCGTTGCGGTAGGCCTATTTGTTTTTAAAAATCCGGCATTTATAGTGCATTAGATCATGACAGTGCATGCTTGCGTGCATATGAGGACGAGCGAGCGCGGGTTTGGCTAGATGTATTTGGAGGTTATTGCTCACGTCTCATTCGGCACAAATCCAAATGTTTCCATATTCGCAATGTATTTGAATGTTAAACTATTATTTATAATGTAAACTAGGCTTGTACTTTACACGCATTCGCATATAGATGGAAAAGATCATCCTCTTCACATGAGCAGAAACGTCCTTAACAGCAGAGTGGACCGGTATACTACGGTCTATTTAAACTGACCAGTGTAACCTTTTATATGTTTGTTTGACTGTATTTTATTTTGATAATGAACAGACTGCGATGTAAATATGAATTGCTAGTGTAGTGTAGTGATATCGCGAGAACAAGGGGTGGGAACGAGAGAGCGATCATGTAGTTGAGAGTGTGTTAATAAAGTTGAGATAACAACGATACAGACTGGTTACTGAGACAAACAACACAAATTAGCTAGCACAGCTAGAATATGTGGTGTGTGTGCGCGCGAGGCGCGCCATTTTTACTCCATTTTTGGAGTAAGATATAATCCACAAATTAGGGAAATTAAAGATTTCATGGCAATGAATTAAGAATTCGTTCGATTTATTAATTTGTTCCCTCATTTTAGTTAAATCATAGGTTAACAAGGGAAAAAATTAATGAAACATGAACAGTAGCCACAAATTAATTAGTCATAGTAATGAATTAACAAGCTGATTGAATGAATTATTAATTTTTTATATCTATTTTTTCAGCAGGCGCACGATATGAAACAATTATCTGGGGAAATTAGATACAACATTTCTATTGCTTTCCATGTTGAAGAACTTTGTGTTGTTTCTATTTTAATGTACTTTTAAAGTTTAAATCACATTAAAAGCTTAATTTGGACATTATGGATGAATGATGATGCATTTATATACCGTCACAGTCACTCACACGTGTTTTGCGCATTAGCCGCATGCAGCCCAAAATTAAATAGCTTAATCGACCATCTATAGCTTTAATCGATTGCATCTCTTATCGACAATTAATCGATCATCGATTAATCGTTGGCATCCCTATTTTATAGCATTCTTATACTCTAATACATTCCATGTTGATTAGCATGCATTATAAATAGACTTTATTCTTATGAATATAGACTATATTATTATGAAATTACCTAAGATGTCTAGAACAACACAGATAAACCATATATTGTCGCAGTTGTGTTTATTGTCTTCATGTTTAATTAGTTAAGGAGTTTCGATACAGTGATAGCTTGATGCCTTTGTCCATATTATAGATTTCCTACAAAGTCAAATTATATTACTTTCGTGAGGCATATTTGAAGTTTCCGCACGAGGGCTCACTATTTCGGGTAAAAATAGAAAAAAAAATAATAACGCTTCTCTCTAAAGAAACTGCCAGTAAACACATGCAAATTCATAAGTTTTTCTCCACCTCAAGAAGTTTTCATTAATGTAAAAATAGACCTCATTGTCATGTTCTAGCCTTATTGCATTTATCTTCCAATCAAAATCAAAAATGTTATGCCCTTAAAGTTGTGGTAGTTTTTCCCTATTTTTTAAGGTATTGTATCGAAGATAGAAATTGCAGTATCATGACAACACTCTTCTGAAAAATGTTGGTAACCAATCAGTTGCCGGAAGCCATTGACTTATTGAATATCTTTAATAAAGAATACCTTCTTTTGTATTCAACTAGGGATGCACCGATACCGATACTGGTATCGGTATCAGGCCCGATACTGAGCTCTTGTACTCGTACTCGTAAAAATGTCCGATACCAAACGCCGATACCTCACAGTATGTGATCAGTGCCATATTCAGACAAAGAAACACCGACAACAGAACAACAGACAGCAGAATGGAGTTATAAGAGATTAAGGATGTCTACGAAGTATATTGTGTAAATACTGTCATACTAACAGCTGTCTAATTTGTTGGTTGATTGTAATCCATTAGGCTACATATATTTCTATCAAAGTTATCTGACATTATCAAGCTGAATTTGTTCTGACACAGTTTAACTCATAGTTATAAAAGTATTGTATTGGGCGAGTACTGGAAAAAGTGGTATCGGTGCATCCCTATATTCAACAGAAGAAACTCATACAGGTTTGGACCAACTTGAGGGTGAGAAAATGTCCTTTTAAGGCCCGTTCACACCAAGAACGATAACAATATTAGCATGCAATTTTTGTCTTTTGTTTTTGTCCTCTGCCACTTTTTAAATGCTCAAGCTCTTTAAAGTTGGGTGGATTCTGACTGGCTGTCAATATACTGCTCATCAGCTAGAAAATAAAAATGTTCTGAAAGTGATGCTAATGTTACTGTGTGTAACATTAGCATCACATCTTTCTCTGTGTTGTTATCATTATAGCTGGAGTATAAATATAATTATAGTTACTGTCCTTGGTGTGAACAGACCTTTGGGGTTCACTCCTTTCTCAATCCAAACTTGGAGTGCCAAAAAATAAATAAATAAAATAAAATAAAATTGGATAATTCAGACATTTCCTACTGCCTTGCCAGAATTAACAGTTTTCCCCAAATTTCCAAGACTCACATTACACTTTTGATTTTTTTTTTATCATTACATTAATGAGACCGTAACCATTCTGTAGACCTGGACAGTGTAGTAACCTCATGGTTTTTGCAAAAATAATAAATCAATCAATCAATCAATCAATCAATCCAGAACTGCAAGTATGTTTTCAGGTTAACAATGTTTACTTCTAATTAATGTGTTTGGCTATTTCAGCAATTACTAAGGCACAAGCCAAACATATTTCCTTCTGAGAGGACCTTTTTCTTTTGGCTGTTCTTTTCTTCACATTTTACATAACTTATTTCACTTGTGCATTACATTTATGTAAAAAAAAATCTCCTTCTCAAAACTATAAACACAACCAAAAGTGGTGCTAGTTTTGGTTTTGTGCTTATTTATAGGTTTGGGGGAAAATTAAGCCTCATTTCAGGAAATGTGTCTTAGGTGGTGGGAAAACCTACAGTCTTTATTGAATTTCAGTGCTCTGTACTGTGCTTACATTTTAATCAGCAGTTTCTGTGCCACCAAGCGTGTGAAAGATCTGAAATTATATTCTGAATGCTGGACCATCCCATTCTTGACTAAGTGAAAGTCCCCGTTGACCAATAGTTACTCACACACATATCAGCCCAACCACAATCTCAGTCTGAAACTGCGCTGATGCCAAATATAGCAATGTGTACCTGTACACTCATACTAGTCAAAGCATGAAAAATAGAAAAAACTGGCAAAGTGAGAAAACCAGTGAGAGAGAGAGAATTACAATACCTGGCGAGTTTGCCCTCTCGGTATGTCCGTCCCCATGGGTGTCTATGTTTCTGTAAGTAACCATTCTGTAGACCTGGATAGTGTAGTAACCTCATGGTTTTTGCAAAAATAATAAATCAATCAATCAATCAATCAATCCAGAACTGCAAGTATGTTTTCAGGTTAACAATGTTTACTTCTAATTAATGTGTTTGGCTATTTCAGCAATTACTAAGGCACAAGCCAAACATATTTCCTTCTGAGAGGACCTTTTTCTTTTGGCTGTTCTTTTCTTCACATTTTACATAACTTATTTCACTTGTGCATTACATTTATGTAAAAAAAAATCTCCTTCTCAAAACTATAAACACAACCAAAAGTGGTGCTAGTTTTGGTTTTGTGCTTATTTATAGGTTTGGGGGAAAATTAAGCCTCATTTCAGGAAATGTGTCTTAGGTGGTGGGAAAACCTACAGTCTTTATTGAATTTCAGTGCTCTGTACTGTGCTTACATTTTAATCAGCAGTTTCTGTGCCACCAAGCGTGTGAAAGATCTGAAATTATATTCTGAATGCTGGACCATCCCATTCTTGACTAAGTGAAAGTCCCCGTTGACCAATAGTTACTCACACACATATCAGCCCAACCACAATCTCAGTCTGAAACTGCGCTGATGCCAAATATAGCAATGTGTACCTGTACACTCATACTAGTCAAAGCATGAAAAATAGAAAAAACTGGCAAAGTGAGAAAACCAGTGAGAGAGAGAGAATTACAATACCTGGCGAGTTTGCCCTCTCGGTATGTCCGTCCCCATGGGTGTCTATGTTTCTGTAAGGGCCAGACGTCAGGGAGCCACAGGGTAACCGATCCCTCCATCACATCCCCCTCTGCACACGCAGGCTCAGTCTCACGACAGTAATAACACTTCCCATAGAAACATGTATTATTTCCTACAAGAAAAGAGACATTATCATCACTTAACTATTATTAAAACGATGTCTGGAAGGAACTGTGCTTCATGAAAGGATTATTTTGAAGAGATGACAGTTGGTTATGAATCTTTTTATGCTGCAGAGCACAGCACAGGCCCATCTGAACTCAAAAATACTACTTGACTGATGCAATACTGTTCAACAATACAGATGTAGCACATTAAGTGTAATTTTTCACAAAGTGGAACAGGAGGGATGGAAACGGTTCATTCATTGGGTTTTACTTCCCTAAAGCCCCGTTCACATCATTGACATGAAGCAACTTTATGCTAATAAAGCAAGTGTGCCTTACAGGTCCTGAAAAGTGAAGCCAAAACATTTTAATCGCCCCCTGGTGGCTGGCGGCAGTATATGTAATCAACCCCACCCGCTCCATGTAAACGAATGGAACATGAGCCAAATAAAATAAATAAATATTACACTTCAAATATTGTTTTTCCAAAGATGGTTTCCATCATTTTAGGTAGTTCTTATCACGCCGATGTATGTTCAATTGTTTGTTTTTCTAGTAAGTTTGCTTTCAGGTATTTTGATGTCACGATTGTAAGCTTGTGATTGGGTCTGTGGGTGTTTGGGCGGGACTTTGATACCGTGGCTCTAGCTCATGATCACTACTGTGCAGACTTGGGCTCCAAATGATGCCTTTGGCAAAGTTGACAGAGGCTATACTTGGGACATTTTGACTTCATTTTTCTACAGTGGAAAGGAGTGTCGTCCATCTTTTTTTTTTACAGTCTATGAAATGAAGAGTGACTTTCGGGAGAGACAACCAATAGTAGTGAAGACTGTGTCACCGAGGGCCCTCATCAACTGTCTCGAATGCAGGAAAGACAAGAGAACTTCTGGAGCAATTTCACTGTTCTATAATAATTGTCTAAAAACATACATACAAATACTAATACTTCTTATTGATTAAATGATCAGAGATGCAAACAGGTAAGGGGTAAAAATGGTGAGAAGTTGAACACTGCATGTATAGAGAAAACCTGCCACAACCAGGGGGGTCTGGGGCATGCTCTGCACTGAGATTTGAAAGATATTTGCTTCACATGCAGAGCTGGACTGGGACAAAAAAACAAAAACAAATATCAGCCCTGGCTTTCTTGGTCCAAGCAGCCCACCACTACTATCAGAATCGGTCCAGTTGGACTCCACCCATATATACACATTGTCATTCAAAATACACACACACATTAACAGTGTGTGTGTGTGTGTGTGTATTCCTACTGACCAGTGTACTCACTTGCTCTTGACTTACTCTTAATAGTCAGTCAAAAGTATGACTGTTTGAGGAAACCAGTATCTACAAAAACTAGGCATGATCTAGGCAGATTCTGATTGGAAAATTGTTACAGGCAAACGGGCCAATTCTGATACCGATTGCTGTTTTTTTTCTTTAAGTAACAGACAAGAAAGAATGAAAGACTACATGAACAAAATGTGTATTTGCTCTATTACAGGCTTAACTGGCCTTAAAAAAAATATCTGTAGCCATTTTAAATTTGATGCAACCACTGCTTTTAAATCACATTCCAAAAAAAGATGCAATATACATGTAGCATGACCTTTTATATTTTATTTAAATTAAATTGTATAATTTCAAGATATAAGGCAAACAGAATGGTCTGACTTAAGCTAAAAATTGAAATTATGTTAAAAATGCAAATTCACTCTCTGCCAGTAGATGGCGCTTATGGAACCGCTGCAATATAGCCTTTCCTTGGATACCGCTGTAAAGAAAGCAGCACTGTGCTTAATAAACACTACTTTAATATGCATTAAACGCAGGTAAAATTAAAAGAAAATGCCATCAGAATTTTTTTGAAAACAGTCAGTTCCCCTCAGAGATGCATTCATGTAAACCTCTACTCTCAATTCAATATTTTGAATTTTCTTTGAATTTTTCAAGCATCGCGAATAGTGAGCTTGCTCTGTCTGGTACAGTATTTTTTCTGGTAGAGCTTCTATTCTCTCACTTTATCTTTTATAGTAAGCAGGCTATTGAAGACAATATTGGCTGATTAGACTGCAATACTAAGCTAAACTGCAAACTGTTTGCCCCATAGTATGTATATGTATACATATCATTTAAAGAAAAAAGTAAAGAAAACGCTGGACTTATCGAAACAACCAGTTCTTTATTTATCCTCGGAAGATCACAATTTATGTTCAGCTCTGCTGTGTGGAAAAAAAAATAACAACACGATCAGCCCGACCAGATGTTGGTCAGGTGGTCTCTTGTCGAAGTGGGCAGTTTTGGCCTAGAAAAGGAAAAGGGAGGGATCATCTCAACAGACAGAAAGCATAATAGAAGAATGACAGGGTGAAACTGACCGTGCATCAGGAAAGTGCTCAGCAGTTGATCTGTAGCTACTGGCTTAATCTCTGTACGCAGATTCATAAACCTCCCCACCACCAGGGGCGCTCTTCTAAAACCCAGGATCCTGCGGGAAGAGATTGAGAAGCTCATGACACATCAATACACAGTTGGTTATCAACACGGGTATGAATGGCAATTAATATTGACAGATTTTCTGAGCACAACATGAGAGCCCTGCACGGGGGTGGATACTGTGGGTACCCGTTGGGTAAACCGCTAACATTTGATGTAATGGCTGGAATAATATTTACGTTGTCATTTGTGGTGCGGGTCGGGAATCAATAGGCACGTGTGGACTGTAGACCTGAGCCAAGACTATTTTGACTCAATTCGGTACACACTGATAGGCAGGCTGCTTTCAAACGGTTTCGTGCTTATTTGTGGTCACGCACTGTAGTCTGAAGACTGCATTAAACATTGTAGCCAATTGCACTGCAACTGAAGTGACTGACATCTTGATTATAAAGGGAGCGCTCTTTGCTTGCTTTCTGTATATAATCTATTCACAATTCAAATAAAAGTTTTTATTTTTCATGCTACTATGAGGACCATACACTGCAGTTTCATGAGAAACAACCGCATTTAAAATGCAGAGTGAATCTGCTAAAATATTTTTCTGAGAGTCACCCTCCGATGACTGACATAGTGATAGCCATAGCAATGGATGGGACAATCTAATATGTCAAAATAGATCTGCATTAAGTCTTGCAGTGTAAATATTATTATTAAACTTAAGTCGCCTCTATGTCTGTGATTACACCATGTCTAAGATAATAGGCACAATGTGCAGTGGTTATTTTAGTCAACCGGTCTATGTTAAACGGGTCGAATAACCGGTCGGGTGTTCTGTTAAGTACAGCGGGTGCGAGTGTACCAGACGGGACCAGTGAAGGACACTGTGCTGCATGTGCTAGTGTTTTGATGACATAATGAATCATACACTGATCAAGATTACGATTAGGAATTTTCAGTGAACTAATTGTGCACAGTCAACTAGAGCAGGGGTTTTTTAACTTGGGTCGGGGACCACCAGTGGTCTGTGAGAGTTCATAGAAAAGTTCAGGGGAAAAAAAATGTAAAAAAAATAAATTATATATATATAAAAAACATTTTTAATTTATTTTTTAATTTTTTTAAATAAAAGTTGAAAATTGTTATTCTTTTTTTAGGATTCTTTAATGAATAGAAAATTAAAGAGAAAAGCACACATTTTTTTTTGTTTATATAGCTGCCTATATTTTGTGAAGTAATATATTTGGGGGTCTGCATCAAAACGTTTGAATCCCCCAACAGAAGCATTTAGAACTGCATTTAGGTTTACTGCTGCTGTAAAAATGTAAAGTTTATAAAAAATAAAAAAAAACTGTAAAGTTTTTTAGTACTGTAAACAATCCGCAGACATGTCAGCTGTGTCCATGCATGCAGAAGTCAATCAAACCTGCATGCATTTTTTTTTTGTGGAACACAACAGGGCTTCAATTTCAAATCTGTTCCTCTCACAAAGCTATTGCATTGCTTCAGAGGTCTTAGAATATAGGGCACCAATCCACAGAGACTACTTTTATGATACTCCAACCAATGGTGTTTGTTTTCTCATTTTTGGAGCTTAGAACCTATGTTGTATGGAAAAGAGCTGAGTGAACAACTTTCTGTGTCCCACAAAAAAATAACTGCATATGGGTTTGGAGCGACATAAGAGTGAGTTCACAGTAGCCCATGGAAAACATCACCTGACAAAAAGCTTTAGTGAAAAGCAAAACAATGGGACTATGCAAATAGTAATGCTAATGATCAAAATCAAAGTTGACAGCCAGAATGTAGAAATCTCAAAGGCTGTTACACCAGTGTCTGACACCATGTTTACAAACACTTAACTTCAGACTGAACAGGATGGCAAACAGTCATATGAGACGTTTGTTCGAGCTTTCTAGTTTTGGCAAGTCACATCGCTTCCAATTTATTCAAAATTTGGATATCAGATCTTTTACACTGCATTAATTTACTGATGTATAAAACAGCAGTAATTCTGAAAGCGCAGCTTTTATGTTTTGAATGTGTACATGCAAAGATGCCACTGAGCGCTTCTGGGAATGTCCCAGGGGTTCACATTTATTGAAACTAACAGATTAACTTATTCTTTGTTATATGAAGGTCACATTAAAAACATCTAGGAACATTTTCTTTACTATGCCTTCATTAACTATAGGCATATAGTCCTAGTAGTTTCCTAGTTTTAAAATGCACTCTTTGTGAAAGTATTGTTAAAAAATTCACTGAGGAAGGCCAAGTGCTGAAACATTTGATGATCCATTTGTGCTTTAAGTACAATAAAAACGTAAAAAATATTGATGAGTTTAGAAGTGAGTGCGGATCCTGCTTTTTTCACCTAATAATAAACAAGTATACTAACGAAATATATTTATTTTTAATCAAGAGTTTGAAAACAATGTAAAACAAGGTAATTATTACCCTAAAACACTGCCCACAGTTGGAGAAATGCACTATTGAGTTATTTGTTATAATCGTGCAGCCCTAGCATGCGTATGTGCACATTATTACCTGTCCAAGTGGAAAGCAGCGATTTCTGCATTATGCCGATCGTACCCTGCGTACGGCTCTCCTTCAACCACATAATCTCTAGCGTACCTAATAATGAGACAAAAAAGAAGATACAGACATAAGGCGGGCGGTAATTGAGAGAAAAGCAAAAGATGACACAAAGATGAAAACAAAAACATTCTGTTAGCCATGTCCTAATGAATTCAGGCAAAACATAGTGCGTATGCAATTAAAGCTTTCTCTTGTTCACAAATTGTCTTAGTTTCTGTGGTGTCGCATTTTGTGTACAGACCTAAAGTGAATTTTCATTGGTCCAAATTACAGTATGTTGAACATGGGATATGTTCTGACTGGCTGTGATTGTGTGGTGTCACACAGCATTTTCACAATTAGTGTGGACACTGAATTAGAGTAATTAACTTAATTAGTCAATCCACGCCTAACATAAATGCACACACACTCCCGTACTGCTTCCTTGTTCCTTAAACAGCAGGATGTTGTGAGCAAATATAAGATTATTTGTGTCATCCTAAATAAACCAGACCTGATACCTTGTCAGTATCCAACACACACAAGGTCTAATGCTATTTCATGTATTCTGACTTATTTACACTGTTAAAGAGTTGGATTCTCATGTCCAAACATGGCCAAAGTTTCAAAAACGAGTTGAACGTATGATGGAATATTTCTGTGCCAAATACACTCCCTTCAGGGTTTGTATAAGTTTCTGAATTCCCTATGAAATTCTGTCATTAATTACTCACCCTTGTGTCCAAACCCGTAAGACCATCGTTCATCTTCGGAACACAATTTAAGATATTTTTGATGAAATCTGAGGGCTCTCTGATCCTCCCATAGACAGCAAGGTAACTATGACAGAATTTTCATTTTTGGGTGAACTAACCCTTTAACATGAGATTGGCAGAAACTCTGTGTATTATGTCCCCTTTAATATGAGACCCATTTTTCAACAGACTGTTCGGTAGCTCGTATAAAATTCTATATATAAAACCACACATAATAAAGTGACTATTACACCCACCGAAAACATGAATACTGTGGCCAAGCCGAGTTCACTGCTCTGAAACCTGAAATAACATTTTTCTATCCAGAATTTAAGTTACTGAGGTTGAGAGTATTGCAAGACTTTTTACGTAGGTAAATGTGCATTGTACATTTCATGTCATTTTGAAACTTCTGACACTACAGCTTATTTTAACAAAAAAAAAAACTGCTTAAAAGGCTATATTATACTTTATTTCTCAATCTTGCTTTTGTGAAGTGCAAACCTCAAGCATTAAACACTAACACTGCATTTCAATCAAAAAGTCTCACTTTCTAACCTCCTATTTGGAAAATATCCCACATTCCATTTAGAATAGTACACAATTTAATGTGACACGCCCGATTCTGATGTTTGGAACTAAAATGTTCAGAGCAGATGGATTGTAAAAGTTCAGTCTGGAAGTGAAATCATCAGAGATAAGGTGTGTTTGATCAATGACCTTAGAAATTAAGGACACAAGGAGGGCTTCCTCACTTATCTACAGTCCCTGTAGATCAATGATAACTCTAATAGCATCAGATAAGAGCAGCTGAATTCACCTGAAGTAATGACAGATCAGATTTGTGTCCTAAGTGCACTATTTTATTCCAGAAATATTCTGGTGACACTTTACAATTAGGTTCAATTTGTTCACATTAGTATTATTTCATGACACCTAATGCATTAAACATCTTCTACAACATTTCTTAATATAGGTTAATGTTAATTCATAAACATACTGATTCATTTTAATTAACAACTTGAAATGTAAAAAATTTTTTATAAACAATTGTATACACTACAGAACTTGTTCATTGTTAGTTCATGGCTGGCATTTGTTTGTTATGAATAGTTTGTGTCAATTTCTATTGCGTCCTGTTTGTATTTTAGTTTTGTTTTTTTATTCTGTTACTACTGTTGTTACGCTTGCTCTTTGCTACACATTGTGATGCATTGCGATCTCTGAAAGGCGCTGGATAAATAAAAATGATTGTTATTACATCTCTTATTCATTCGTTTCTTTTTCCATTTCACTCACCGGCTTCTTCATTCTCTAATTCACTCACTCACTCTTCCCCTCACTCTCCCTCTCTCTAAATCACTCACTCATTTTAACCTCATTCACATTCTCATTACTTTCTCTCTCTTTCATTCTCCATCTTAATCATCCCTCTCCTCACCTCTTGGGTTTGAATACCACTTTCTGTCCTCCGTCGAGCACCAGCAGGGCTTTCAGCTGGGTGCCTTTATAGCCCACGTCGGCCCTCTCTACACGAGCGGTGGCCAGGGCGTTCAGCACGGCTGCTAGCTCAGGCGTTTCGTCTGGGAACACCTCCCGGGGACCCACCCACTGGGCGGCCACTTCCCAGGGCGACTGCAAGGTGTGCGTGAGGCGAGCTTCTTTGGCCAGGGCCAGGCTGGCCTCCATCTTGCGGAAGTCCCGGAGGTCACGGCGGCTGGCGGCCGATCCCTCCCCTCCATCCAGCAGGAAGACCTTGGCCAGGCCGAGGAGAAAGAGCACAGCGCACAGCACCACCACACGCTGCTTCAGCTTCATCACCTCCTGCAGCCAGACGCCAACCGGCGGCCCACCACACCCGAGTCTGCCAGGAGACACGTACTTACGCCTGGGGCATGGCACTGCCCGCTGTCTGACCAACACCACCACCGGTCAGGCAGGACAGGAGCGGGTCGAACCACCAGAATGTGAATGAGTGAGGACGACGACACTTCCTGTGAGAAGAGCGAGAGTGTTTGTCATTTTAAAGGAAGAGCTGAAAATTTGCTGAAAATGTATTCAGCCTCAGGCTCAGATGAAGAGTTTCTTTTTTGGAACAGATTTGGAGAAATTTTGCATTACATCACTTGCTCAGCAATGGATCCTCTGCAGTGAATGGGCGCCATCAGAATGAGAGTCCAAACAGCTGATAAAAACATCACAATAATCCACACCCCTCTAGTGCATCAGTTAAATCTAAAATACGAGTCCTCTATCCATAATATTGCTTTCTCTTGTGAAAAAGTTGTTTAGTTTGAATCAGGAGAGAAATATGCAAAGATCAAGTTTCGAGTTGTAAACTAGAGATGTAACGGTATGAAAATTTCTTATCACGATTATAGTGACCTAAATTATCATGGTTATCAATATTATTACGGTATTGTTAAAATGTGCTGGATATGTTCTAAAAGTACAGACACATAATGATGTCCGGATTTTAAATGACAGCATGACTGACAACAGTTTATCTAATAGCATGTACGAAATGTTCAATTAAAGCTTTGAAAAGTTTCATAAAATGGTAAACCTCACATTTCAGCCTATAAATAAAGAAAAGGGTTAAGTCAAAATGATAATTGATTAATAAATGATTATATGGATTTTATCTGCTCCACAAATAGTTCTAGATACCTTATCAGAATTATTTAAATGTGTAGAATCCACATAAGCTTGTTTTTCATCAACCAGTCAAAATTTTGTGGACAAAGCAGCACTGTGATTAATGCTGCGTTCAAGGCTGCGTTCCAGTCTGGTTTTTTTATGCCCTTCACTCGCAAACTTCCCTCCGTCTCGTTCACTCGGATGTACAGACATTCTATATGTATATAGGTATGCCTGGGCTGTTACAAATGTTTAAAGGGGTCATATGATGCGATTTCAATTTTTCCTTTCCTTTTTAGCAACATCATACGACCCCTTTAAAAAAATAATTGATATATTATAGAGTTGTTTGGGGTGGGGAAAAATTGAACGCGATCTGCGATGACATCATAATCATGTTGCATTGTGGTCTGTGGAGCGGCCTTAAGTGTGCATATCAAGCAGGCGTCTTTTGCGCTCTCAAGTTCGTTATTTCAAATGTAGACGCGCATGAGGTGCGACGCGCTCGTTTTTTCCAGGCGCGTCCGCACCGCAGCAAGATAAAAACATCTCAACTTTTCAGAATGCCGCAAGCGCACCGCAGATCATGTGACAAGAACCAACCAATCACCTTCACTCTTTCTATAACAACATTGCAAGCTCAGCCAAGATGGAGGAACAGCTGATCATAGCTGTACAGGGATGGCCATTTTTAAATGAATTTAGTGTAAATTTAGTAGCAGAGCTACTGCAAGCGATTTTCAGTGCTTGAAATCCATTTATCCTTTGCTGAAACATCTGCGCCATCATGGAAAGTGCAGGTCATGGTTGCTGCAACACACGCTACCGAGCGCTTTGGAAAGAAGGAAAAAGCGGCGCAGCTAGCGTTTTCCACGCGTTTTAGGCGCGACATGTGAACGGCCCCTTATGCGCCCTCGATCCCACTTCTGCTGAGCCCGCACTGGTGCGAGCTCCGCAGCAGACTTCTACCCAATAGTCAAAGCGGCATTACGTCACGAAAGTGCGGACTCAGAGGAAGACCGCGAGGGTTTAGGGTGCCATTTGGGACAGGGCCGCAGACTCGCTCCCTCGGTCAAAATCGAGGGGTCGAGGGTCTGTCCATATAAACTTACCTCGTTCACTCCACGAAGTGGAACGCACTTCAAAATTGCAGCGGGGATTCCCCCGAGGGGAAGAGTTTGGGGAAGTTTGCGAGTGCATGTCTAAAAGTGGAGTGGAACGCAGCCCAAGTCCTCCTGGGAAGTTCGTACTTACGAGTTGTCACTTTCGTCGGCACAATATGGCGGTGTACCTTCTTTTAATAAATTACAAGAAAATACAGCACGGTTTGTTAACTCTGCTTATGGAAAATGAAGAGCAAAGAATTCACATCAGGTGTGTTTTGCGTTTTTATTTTTTAAATAATTTATGAAGCCACTTTAAGCTGTATCGTACAACAACTTGTTATATTTCAATCCTGTCATATATAATACCTATAAGTAGTGTGATTTATATTTTATTTTGCACTCTCTCTCTCTCCGTCATGTTCCAGACATCAGCATCAACAAAAGCTATAAAAATACAGATTAAAAAAAAAAAACTGTTGACGAATGCAACATGGCAAATCAAACGATTTCTCACCTACAGGTGCAGAAATGATAGAAATATAATTTTTTTCTTGTATTTCATTAACTTGCTGCATATAACAAGAACATGACCAATTTAAGTTTATAGGACAACTAAACTATCAATTTCAACAAAAATTTACCATCAACAACAGACGTTGCATCCATCGATTCCGTCATGTATCTCACTGACACGCCCCCAACTCGGAAACCAAGCCAGCATTGTAGTCTACTCTACCAGGATCAGTAAACAGTCCTCCATAAAATGCGCTGCACACATCTGAATATTTGGGTTGAACTGTTCTGGAACAGTGTTGTAAATACAACTTAACCACTGATTTCAACAAAGTAGTTTCGCTTTCACAACAAAACACACAGCTTCTTCATGACATGGCAGCAACAACAATACTACAGCGAGAATAAAAGTTACGCCTTCTTTCTTTGCGTGAACATTTGGGCGGCGTTATGCAAATCTTCCCACATCGTGACGTAGACATGTGGCGGCGTGTTAGAACGAGCCTTTTTAGGTAGGCCTGGTTGACTTAACTTTTATAAAGAATATCTCTTTGGATTTGAGACTTTAGTCTTTGCAACTTTACAGATCTTCTTTATGCACCAAGAGCTTGTAACACTTCAAACAGAAAGGAAAAATTTAAATCGCATCCTATGACCCCTTTAAAACCTCCCAGCTTTTCTGCCATGTTTTCTCACAAAACAAAACTACTATGTGTGCTGTGCGCACGTGACACTGTTACTTAAAACTTAGCTTTATGCTGGGCAGCATTTATCCCCCGTTGTTCAAATCATGGTAATCAAATACGGTTGTAATGATAATTAAAATATGAAATGGTAACCGTGGGGAATTTTATCATGATTGATCATCAAACCGGTAATTGTTCCATCCCTATTGTAAACAAATATGTCAGTGAAATTTGATGTGAAAGGACAACAAGGGACGGACCTTTTCACTGGAGGAAGCGTTATTATGGATTATGGACTGGTATTTTGGCCAGAAGCTATGGTTTAACATTAAAACATCTTCATAATGGTTTTGTTTATTACAAACACACACTTTTTCCCTTAAGATCTCAACTGATGGTCTGGAGTTGTGTGAATTATTTGTGGATTATTGTGATGTTTTGCAGTGTTTCACTGCAGAGGATCCATTGGTGAGCAAGTGATGCAATGCTAAATTTCTCCAATGAAGAAACAAACTCATCTACATCTTGGATGGGCTAAGAGCAAATTTTCAGTAAATTTTTATTTTTGGGTGAACTATTCCTTTAATGCACAATTTTTTATTCAATAGATCTATGATGATCCATCACTGAGATGTATATTGTACTGTATGACTGCTGTGAGTCAACATGGACAGACATAACATTGACAGGGGTAGAATAAAATCAGAGCACTTCACATAAGAGCACTCACTGATGCAGGAGAGCTTTCTCAGTTATATAAGACGCTCCAGGTTGTGTCTGCGTTAGTGCTGCTCGTGTTTAACGTGACAATCTCTCATGCACGCCAACTCAAATCCTCCTAATATATGATTTGGAGTCCAGCCTGGTGCTGTGTAGAGGGTAGGGCTGCCACCTGTCTGCTCAGGTGTGTCTAGTCTGCTACTGTCTGGGCGAGTCTGGTTTCTGTGGCATCTCAGCACAATCCTGAACTCCCTAAGGTAGAAAAAAGACAATAAGAACACAAAGCTTCAGGCACATCAATAATTCCAGCAAAACTAGGTGGGTCAAAGCATTCTAGATCTGTTTGTTTATTCAAAAACATTCAAAATGCAATTCATACATACAATCATTTGAATACACCTAAGATGAGCATGTTTTCAACTTCTGGATTAAAATTCCCTTTGATATTTTTGTGGGGGAAATAACTCAAAAACATCAGGGTGATAAAGCTGTCCTGATATCATAATGAAGAAAACGCATTAAAAAAAATAACCTCTTGAAAAGCAAACCTGATTAAATATTTTGGCATAATCTTTTATCAGTACTATTTTTTAAGGGGGAAAAAAAACATTTATTTATATTTGAAAATATTACAAATAATGTCATGTGGTGTGAATTTTTATTTTTTTAATACTTTGTTTGAAAAAATGCGTAAGAACTTTTTAACGATTAAAATGTTTGCACTCACATTATATTTTATATATATATATATATATTTTTTTTTTTTGAAAATGACAATAAAGTGAATACAAAGAGTACATTTTTAATAAACTGGCACGTGTTTTAAACTAGATTTTTCCTTTTATTTATCATGGACACATTTATTTGTCACTGAACCTGGTACATACACTACCGTCCAAAAGTTTGGGGTCAGAAAGATTTGTTTTAATGTTTTTTTTTAAAAGTCTATAATTTTATTTGATCAAAAATACAGAAAAGAACTTTAATAATGTTATATATTATTAATATTATTTAAAGTAACAAAGTTTTCTATTTTAAAATATTGTTAAATGTAATTTATTCCTGTGATGGCAAAGCTGAATTTTGTGCTGTTAATATTTTTGTGGAAATCATGATACATTTTTTTTTTTCAGGATTCTTTGATGAATAGTAAGTTCAAAATGACAGCATTTCTTTTAAATATATGTTTTGTAACAATGTATAAGTGTTTACGGTCACATTTTTCCAATTTAATGCGTCCTTGCTAAATAAAAAAAAAACTTACTGACCCCAAACTTCTGAACGGTAGCGTATAAAACATGAATTTGTCAAAGTATACAAACACATTATTACTGTGATGAATCTTACTCTAAATGCTTCATGTTCAAGGAAAAATTACACTGACAATCTATCTTATAACAACAAACAGAGGCCATAACTACATTTCGGTATAAATTAAAGATCTATTTAAACATAAACCCAAAGATGGCAAACTTCAAAACCTTTAGTTCCACTGCTCACAAAAGGAAAAACTCAACAAAAATACAACAAATGCCAGCAATCAATATGAACAGCCTCAAACACATGCAACTTTCCCGACGGATCTCAGGGTCTAAATTAAAGCGAAAGAGCTGCCAAGCAGAAGCAGCAGAATCTCAGCTCAAACACACTGCGGTACTGAGCCCTGGCAAACACAGCTCGACACTCTCTCACCACTTCCTGATCTCAGCCTGGGGCTTATCGGTGTTTGAGAGCGCTGCCACTCCAAAGACTTCTACTAAACACACACACACATTTATTACTGTGCTCTGCACTCTTACATCTAGTATGTGGGATCAGCCCACTCATGACAATGGCATAAAGGCAGACTTTTGGCAGACATCCACAAAATACATAGCTTTGATTATAGAACATTACATGAGACAAAAATCACAATGCGAAGTTTGTATTTTTTTTCTCCCCCTAATGCTATATTGACCTGCATTGATTCTCTCTGGTGTCTTTGTGAAGAGCAAAAACATACATTTCTTTAGACTGGAGTCACATGACAAGTGCTCATCCAGGGATCAATATTAAGGATGTTCTGATGGAGCCCGTTTGAGAGTTTCAGACCACTAAATCTTATATCTGTGGATTATGTGCATGCACTTTTATGCCTTGAAAACATATAAATGGGTTTTGTGTGATGCACTGAATGTTGCAAATTCTGTTTATTTAAATACGCCACCAAGGTCAAGTTATCTGTCATGGTGTTTCATTATAGCTGTATAATTTTCAGCTATTATTGCAGTTCCGCTTGTCGAATTGGTTTGGTCAAGTGGTATTCCAAGACTGCCAATATTAAGTCCAAGCTGTTGCAATATATCTACTTCAATATATTTTACAATGCAATTTATTCCTGTGATGTCAAAGCTGAATTTTCAGCATCATTACTCAACTTGCTGCTCGAGAAATTCTTATTCTAAATTCTTAATTATTAAGAATTTCTTATTATTATCAAAGCTGAAACAGGTGGGCTGCTTGTTTTTATGGAAACCGTGACACATTTATTGAAGATTATTTGCTAAACAGAAAGTACAAAAGAACAGCATTTAATTGAAATAGAAATTATGTAACAATAAAAAAAAATGTTTTTGGTCAATTAAATGATCCTTGCTAAATAAAATATGAATTTCTTTAAAAATACTGAAACCTGACAGTAAACTAGTTAACACTGCTGCATTAGTGCTTCTTATACAACGCCTAGGGGAGTGACAGCAAAAGCATTCTCTCTTCTGTCAACTGTAATCTCTCTCTCTCTAATTTTTCCTTTTAGAAAGTCATAGAAACACTATCTTGTTTTTTTCTTTCTTTTGCTATTGGAATACATGGGAACGTAACAATGATATCTGTTGTAGCTTCCGTTCACCACTATAGAAGTTTACCCAACTATGATGATTTCTGCTTCCGAGAACCCTGAAAATGTCAAAAGGGTCCATACAGTGCAGAAGCACAGGACTCCAGAGCTCTCACGCCTCCCATGAGGAGCACAGTGCTCTTCTTCTAACATGAACCTCTAACAGAGAAGCGCAGTCACACACAAAATGTGTATTATCCATGCAAGAAGCCCTGAGTCACACACCAGCCTAGATCACTGCAGATCTCTGGCCTTTCGTCAAGTGATCGGTCTGAAGACATGCATCTCCTTATCAGACACACGTAGGTGAGCAAGTGCACATTCATCATGAGACTGGGTGCCTCATAGCCTGCAGCACATCCTGTCCACGCAGGCACTAATGACACACAATCAGCCATTCATATCAACTCCAGCTACACGCTAACACACATCTATCACACCTACTAAACAAACGGCTCCAAGTGTACAGTTCCACATGCAAATAGACCAGCTGTTACATTTAAGACGGTCAGACTGGACCGCTGCTGTCATGCGTTTAAACACACCTAATACTGACTTTTATGACATTTACACAAATAGAAGTTTGTACAGTTTGTTCAACAACTAAAAATGAATAGAAATGTGTGTGAAATTGAGCGCTCGCCTCGCTCTTATGTATTTTATAAGCGAGAGTGCTAACGGCGGTTAGCCACAGCTAGCTCACAATTCCCTCGTGTTCTTCATATTATAGCGATGAAATAAACACAGATATAATCCAACGACACATTTGTGAGCTCACCGTAGGTGTACCTCTATATATATGAGTGTCTGCAGTTGCTGTTAGTGAGTTGAAGTCCTAGTTTTTAGTCACAGCATATCCGCGCTGCTAACAGTGAAACCGTGACATTTAAAAGCATGGACTCACCTTAGCGCTACTAACGAAACCTTTCAGCAGGAAAACCCCCCACGGCC